ACGTATCTTATACAGGGTGCGTCTTCTATAAGTGCACATATTTTCGGGACTGGTAGATCTGGATAAAAGAAACATATTTTTTCTCTCCATTTTTCAAATACCTCCAAATCCAAAGTTCTTTCTTAAATTCCATTGGATTTCTTCTGTGTTTTCGTTCCTCTAAATGTAATCTACTACCTATGTTGCCATATTATCAAGATATTATATTTTTTAACTAACTTTTTTTATATTTACCCCTAAAAATATGTGTACTTATTTAAGAGTCATCCTCTATATCAATTGTTTTTGTAAAATTAAAAAGAAAAATGGAGGTGACTGAAATCAGATTCAATCTTCACCAAAGTGAGAGGAGTTCGCAAACAGAATAAATTATAAGTTTACACCATAGTAGCGTTTAATAACTAGAGAACATAATTAATAGAGATCGATGAGCTAGCTCCTCGCGTAAGTGTGGAGCTCAATTTATTATTCATCTTTTATATACACGACCATAAAAACCGCCCAGTCACTGTCCTGTTTATTATTTTTATCTGCACACGATCGGTCAATTTAATATACAAGATGGTCTGGTATAAGAATGGGCGATAATGGAGTTTGCATATCGATAAGTTATCGCAATTCATCCATCGATATATTATAATTATCGATATACCGATAGGTATGTATACAGGGTACTCCGAATTGTATTCCGGTAACTTCGGCAGTATATTCTACAGATAAAAATAAGTAAAAAAGTTTGTATAAATGTATGTCCGAAAATGCATAGTTTCGGAGATACAGGGTGCAGAAGTTTCATTTTTATTTCGAGTTTTTCCAAATAATTTCTGAAGTATCGTCAATAGTTGGATGAAAATTGGTATTTGGGAGTTTTTTGCCATGAGAAATTTGATTTTGATGTCAATATGACTCCTACTTGTAGAGGGCGCCTTTTACATATTTTTTAACTGGTTTGACGAGTAATAACTTTTCATCCGTACCTGTATAAAACTACTGAGTAAAAAAATATACATTTACGACGTTTTTTACATAAAAAAATCTCTTAGTAAAAATCGCTATGAGTATTGTTTCTCGAGATATTTGGAATCGAAATTATCAATACCCTATTACCATTGACATAAATTAAACATGCTCACTAAATAGTTATTAGACTGAAATCATAAATTTGAAATGTTTTTGTACCAAACTATCTCCGAAACTAAGCACTTTAAAACATACATTTATACAAACTTTTTTACTGGTTTTTATCTGCAGAATATGCTGCCGAAGTTGGAATACAGTTCGGACCACCCTGTATATCGAGGAATCGATAATTTTGACGTAACCTATTGTTATTCAATATATCGATAGTTATCGATATATCGGAGAAAATCCATTCCTAATTGAAACTATCTAGATTGTTGTATTATGAAATTTTAGGGAATAATGATTTAGAGAAAATAAAAATATAGTATATCGTATTTTATACAGGGTGTCCCAGAAATAAGTACAGATATTTAACTAGTAGTATATTCCAACCCCCGAAACACGCCAGTGAGGTTATTTTCGCGAAAAAAAAATTTGAAAATTTGGAATTTTTTGAAAAACGGTAAAGAGAAAATATGTTTCTTTTATCGAGATCTATCACCTCTCAAAATATCTGTACTTATTTCTGGGACACCCTGTATAATAATTACAAAATGTCCAGCTAGTATTCAGTTTTTTAAACGGGTAAATAAAAATTATACGCACAAAAATAAATTTTAAAATATCGATATATCTATGGATATATTAATATTTCGATTGTTATTGACATATCGATAACTATCAATAACAGATACTTATGGAAATGATATAAAAATCGATAGGTGACGATAAATATCGATAGTTATCGATATATCGGGAAAACTCCCATCCCTAGTATATTATACACAGAATATTTAAAGGTTTATCATTAGTTTAAAAATAATTTATTTGTTTTTTTTTCTTTTCAACAAATAAAATCTTAATAAATTAAGTTACTTTAAGCTATAGACACGTATTATTATATAGAATGGCTACAAAACAGTTTGTGACTAACAAATCTCCAGAATGATGGAGAAATTTACTAGAACTGAGACAGAAAAAAGTCGAAAAATGGCTAATTTTTGGCTATTTTTTTCCTTATTTTCAAGTCTCTTAGAAAAATAGTAAACACAGTCATAAAATTATGAAAATGTCACCATTTATGGGAAATTTTACACTGATTTAGAATATATAAAGAGATTTAGAATATGTAAATTTGTCCGAGAACACAAATAATCCATAACCTATTTTATCCTTCTTAAACCTTAACCAGACCATATTACTAACAAATAAGCCGCCCTATCGATCAAAGGAAAACGGACGTAATCCCTACTCCTTCCCTTACCCTATTTAACCCCCTTTACCCTTACACCGTGATTTTCCCACCCCCTAGTACTAGTAATCCTCTAGTTATACCCTTACACCACCTCCAATTGGGGAAATGAATGCAGAAACCGCGCTATCGACCCACATTATCCCCCCAACTCCTTTAAACGGCGCTGCAACAACCTGGTCGGCGTACTTTTACCCCTGGTTCTCCTGTTTCGGCAAAAATTCGTAATTCGCTGCAGGCTAGCGTGTTTGAGGGGGTGGGGAGTGTATTGGGGGTTGTTTTAATAGGAAATAGGCTAGAATCTAGAATTAGGGGGTTGTTTGTATTGGAGACCAGTGAAGACACTAGCTAAAAATACGAAATAATATTATACATGTATTGATTTCTTTCGAAAATCGACATGAAAAACTATGAAACTATGATCTCTTCCCGGACACAAACGGTACATTGTGAGACAGGAAATTGTAGAGAGAAACAAGTTCTATAACATAGGATACAACATTTTAATGAACAGTGCTTTCCATAAAATCAATAAAATGAAAAATATACGAAATAATATACATGTACTGATTTCTTTCGAAAATCGACAACTATGAAACTATAAACCCTTCCCGGACACAAACGGTACATTGTGAAACAGGAAATTGTAGAGACAAACAAGCCCTATAACATAGGATACAACATTTTAATGAACAGTGCTTTCCATAAAATCAATAAAATGAAAAATATACGAAATAATATACATTTACTGATTTCTTTCGAAAATCGACAACTATGAAACTATGATCCCTTCCCCGATACAAACGGTATATTGTGAGACAGGAAATTGTAGAGAAAAACAAGCCCTATAACATAGGATACAACATTTTAATGAACAGTACTTTCCATACAATCAATAAAATGAAAAAATACGAAATAATATTATACATGTACTGATTTCTTTCGAAAATCGTAAACTATGACACTATGATCCCTTCCCCGACACAAAGGGTACATTGTGAAGAAATTGTAGAGAGAAACAAGCCCTATAACATAGGATACAACATTTTAATGAACAGTGCTTTCCATAAAGTCAATAAAATGAAAAATATACATGTACTGTATATTATTATATATTTCGTATAGATAAAGAGTTGTTATCGAAAAGTTGTTTGATTTTTAGGACTTTTTGATTTTTAGGAAAAAATTTAACCATATTTTCATGTTTTTTTCTTATTTTCTCTAAAACGCTATGGAAATTTGGAAAAAGATAAACTAGAATAACCATTTTAGAACAAGTAAATTTTTTTTATGAAGAATGAATTTTTCTGAAAATATAAATAATAAAAAAGTTTTTCCTCTTGTAAAGACAATCCGGGGACATACTGTATATTTATGTAATTAACTTACAACAAAGTTTCATGCACAAATATTTTTTTAACTTTTCAAATTCTTTTTTCATCATCAGCTGATTTTTTTTATTCTTTACATGCATCATTCCTTCAAAAAATTTACTCTAAAAAAATCATAATATTAATCTTTTTTCTCTCTGTAACTTGCCCACCCTAACCAAAGATTAATAGTCGTTTTAAAATTACGACAAGACCAAAATGACACAGTTTAGAAGTGTGAGCGAGCTGCTGAGCAGAAAAAAAAATCAGGAAAGGCCTAAAATGACAAAGCACCTTCCTCTGAAGGGACAGGCAAAAAACCGGTGTTAAAATTTTGTCACTGACAAACTGTAATAATTAGATGAGAAAATATAGGGTTGGTGTAAGTTACCCTTTTTCCCTTAGTAAAGGTTAGAGGATTTTGTGGGTGAATAAGAAAATAATAAGGGATGAACACCCTTTTTTATGAGTATACAGGGTGTTTCAAAAACATTTGCCGTCTCTCGTGGGGAGATTTTAATTATCTAATAATATTATATAATTATTCCAAAAGTGTTTTACGTTTAAAAAAAATATTAAGAAATTATTATTTCAAGGAATTTATTACGAGTAGAAAAAATATTGTACTGGGCTGACGTTGGTTTCTATGCAATTTGACAAATAAATAAAGCTGTCTCTTTAGTTGTCAGTTTTGAGTCAATATTTTTTAATTCTCTTTCGTGTCGATTGCTGATTGAATTGGAGCCAGAAATGGCTCAAAATGAAATAAGTAAATTACCGACAGATATTCAGGTTGAGGCGACAAACGCCATATCCAAACTACTTCCATTTAAATCCCGAATAACTTATGAAAAGGAATACAAAAAGTTTCAAAAATGGAAGCAATTAAAAAACGTGCGAGAAGAAATAAAGTTTTTAACCTATACTCGCTGTTAAAGTATCATTTAATCTACCCCTGCGGTTAAAGTACTATTTCATCTACTATTTTTGATAGATATAAGGCAATTTTAACAGTTGCTATGGAAAAAAAAAATCCGTTGATTTAAATCATTGCACCACGGGTTAAAGGTTAAACTCTTCATTTTTTTTTCCATTAGCGGTTTACTCTTTTAAAGGTATTTGGTATCATGTATAAGTAATTGCGTCAGCGTACATATCAAACGATACGTTTACGTATACGTCTTTCTTACGTATAAGATTCGTATTGGCGATCACTAGTACTTACGTAGTTTGTTAGGCCTGTGAGGGGCACACCGTTGGCCTCCAGCAGAAGGTCTCCCACGTTGAGCAGGCCGCAGGACGAGGCCGGTTGGTGGGGAAACAGCCTCTTGATTCTGACCAATCCCGGCCAAGAGCCGGCGCTGTCCACGCCGCCTGTCACGCTGAGGCCTAGACCTCGCGTGCCTTTGGCCAGTTTGACAGAAAAAGTACTCTCTGAAACAGAAAAAAAATTATTTAACATAAAAATAAACCAGAAATATAATGTGTGATATAGAATTGAAATACAGAGTTGTTCACGCTCTACTACAGGGATCTGTATTACCAGAAATCAACAGAAGAATTACGACTGTATTACGTTGCTTACATTGGTTATAGTTATACCGTGCTGGCAACTGTTACTTTTGGGTCGGCATTTACATGTGTGGAAGTAAATCGCATAGGAATCTTATTAAGTCGGAGTGAGAGAAACGCGACGCGCGACGGTGTGTTGTTGCGGCGTTGCCGATACGCCTTCCCCTATCAAGTAAAGTAAAATCACGATCGCAAACCGCTTATTTTTAAAAGACTTTTTTTCAAGAGATAACTAGATAAAATCATTAGACATGTTTCTGAGCATCTGAAATGGAATTATAAGGATATCGTTAAGGTGTCGTTTTTTTTATAACGAGAAAAGGTCAGTAATCGCGATAATTTAAAAATTCAACTTTTTAACACAAGAACTTTAATACAAGGCCATTACTCAAGAACCACTTTAGGTATTGAAACTTTTTTTTGTTTTCAAGATCGGATATTTTACAATATGTTAACTTAAGAAAAATTCGATGAGGTTGTTTTTTCCATTCAAAAATTGTAAACAATCCATCCATTTACTTTTAGAGGATAGCAATTTTCAGCAATCGTGTAATTTTTTTATTGATAAAGATTTTCACATACTGTCTACAAAGAAAATTCAGCAGAAATATTAACAAAGTTCTTGAAAAAACTACAAGCTATTATTTCTAATAGATTTCGAGATATCGATTTTTGAATTCAGAGTTCTAATAGCGCGACCACTATCGAACACCCACTCAATTCCACTTATTTTTACCAAAAATGCAAGTGTTTCTAGCTTGCACTTAAAAAAATCAAGCTATAGGGAAAATTACAACGACTCGTTAATAAATAAACAAATTAAGTATCACGAGACGTAATTAAACCGTGAAGCTGAACGCATGACGTACACCTTTCCGTAGAACTTTAAGTACTGACAGAGGTATTGATTGGGTCGACCGGTCAACTGCGACAAATCTACTATATCCCCTTCCACGTCTCTTAGCGATGTGCACAGTTTCTCGGTTTATTTCATACGTTTGGCAACGTGTTTACTGTCCTCTCTTTGTTCAGTACATTATAAACGCATTGTACTCTTCTTATATAGGGAAATCTCGACCCAGGACTAACCTTTGCCAGCCCTTAGTATGTTCTGTTTCTATCGGTTTCCTGAAAGTTTTCTTACTACGGAACACAGTTCCTGAAAAATATCTATCATAATTGCCACCGAACTAACCCATGGTACAAAGAATACAAGGTATGATCGATAGCGGCTCCAATTTCGTTCAGTTCGCGCATACCACCTGTAACGTCACTAGGAAAATAATGAATAAATAAAAAATAAAGAAAGTTGACAGGAGTTCTGCATTTTTGGGGTTATGCTTAAGAATTGTTTATTTTTAAGACTTTTTAGTTCGTTTAATAAGTTAAATTACTAAAACCAGCAGTTCCAAAAATATATTTAAAAATAATAATTATCTATTAACATGGATTTGGACGATAATAGGTAAAAATACTAAATTTATTTCTATATTCGGTATAAAATTGTTTATTAGGTTTTTAGTTTGCGATGTTTATGGTAAATAATTTTCATTTTCATTGCCTCTGAATTCACATGAGGACAGAGTTGAGGATATCTATGGAAAAGTAACCACAAGAGGAATTGTTACATCATTTAAAAAATGTTGGGAAGTTTATTGTTTCCCATCGAAAAGTAGAAAATGCCAATGCAGATGAACGTATTGTAATTGTGATAGAAGTAATTCTAAGGGTGAAGTTTATTATAATTAGTGGAAGTAATACCAAGGGTGAAGTTTATTATAATTAGTGACCTGTGCTTCTTTTTATATGTAGATGTTTCTGGTTTTGAGAATAAATCGGTTGAACGACACCCAAAATTTAAAGGAAGTATTTGCATACCCAGAATATGCCCATCAAGGATTATATAGCTCAAATTTCCTTTAATGGTAGGCAATTATTCAATGCAAATTAACTTTTTAAGTGACTGAAATATTAAATAGTTTACAATATGGTATATCACTAAAAATATATTACTTTTAGGTACAATTAGGGCCCGATACATTTCAAAAAGTAGAATATTATTTTATATTAAATGAGGTATTGTACTAACAATCAATTTATATTAATAACGGAGATTAAAAAATAACAGAATAAATAGTTCTTTTTTTTATACTACAAAAATAAACTATAGAATACAACAGTATTTAAAAACAATAAATAGAAAGTGATGTTCCGGCCGAGATTCGAACTCCGGTCTCTCGCTTCCTAGCCCGACTCCTTATGCTCCACAGTAACTTGCTTAGCGATAATTCAATGACGGTATATAAACAAAAAAAAACAGGTTTATAACAATATCTTGACGATTTGAACTGGCGCGCGGAGCGTGCTGACCAATAGCGCCTGTTGTCACCTGTGACGTAGCGACCAACCTGCGCAATATCATACCTTGTATTCTTTGTACCATGGAACTAACCAGCGCGAGAAGGCTGGTTTTTCTGGTTTTGTTTGTCAATCAATGTAATTTATGTGACAGAAATCAGGCAAATATTGGAAGTTCGAGTGAAATTCTCTCATTTACTTTCTAATATTTGTAATAATATTTTGTATTTATATCCAAAAGCCATGAAGGTCGGTAGTAAAATTAAGTCAATTTCATTAACTAAATAGAATGACTTTTTAGGACCATTTAAACTTATTATGCAGCCATTGTTCCTTAAAGTCAGGAACATTTAAAGAAAACATGATGAGAAACAAGACAACAAGTAAGCGTGAATGTTTGTAAGCTATAAAAATATAAATATTGATTAGATTTGTTTAATGATTTTTGATCTGTTTCAATATTTGTATACCAATTTTTATCCTTGCAAGAAATTTAGTCAGAAATAAGTTTGGTTGTGTATATTTTAATTAAGTAACATTAAAAAACTTTAACTCTCATTTTCTTCATAATTATCTTCTAGGACTTGATCCAAGTCACTTCTAAACCTCATATATTATTACATTTTTAGTTTCTACGATTAAAATAAACTCTCTGAGCTTTAAAAGGTAAAATATAAACAAAGCGTACAAAAACGAATTAAAATAATTTGGAGGAACATTTCCAAATGTCATTTTCAGTAAAATATTGAATCTTAATTCAATTGGTATCGCTGGAGAGCCTCAACTTTTTAATTTAGCCCTTAACAACAGCCCTGGGGCACTATATTACGTTCAAAAATTTGAAATGCAGATTCGGTTTTGTCTTGGTGAGGGTTTTTGAGGGTGCTTTGAAGGGATATAATACGCAGGCAAGGGTGATTTTTTTGCTATAAAGAAATTAGTGCCAATTTTGACTTTTTTCTTCATTGAAAACGACAGTATTTGTAAAACTAAGTGGAAGTTTCTGGTCTGAAGAGTATACAAAAATATTTTTCGATTTTTTTTATTACCTTTATCGAATCGCGTCTCCCTCTAAAAATTTCAGCGCAAATTGTGTTCAATTAACATATTTTGATTCCAAAAATACGTAGTTTTTCTATGTCCACGCAATATTGGGACACCCTGTACATTTCTACCTAACCAAGATGGACTCTATGCATTGTACAGGGTGGCGCCTTTCATATGATTTTTTTTTAAACTTTTAAAAACATAGAGAGATCTACAGGGCGTCTCCAAAAAAAGTTATCCATCAAAGTTGTGCTTGTTATAATAGAACATCTTATATATCACTAGATTTTCAGATTCTAGAAGAAAAATAAAGGTGACTTTCATTAGAGGAGTATATTATGTCTAAAATGTAAGGTTTTTGACATACATATTTAACATTTTCTAAAAATGAGGAACAAATTTTAAATTTCAATAAAAGCTAGCTAAATTGGATTTACCCAGTATATAGCCTAATATGTAGTTAAAATAACTATTGTACCTTAAATCAAATTAAAACTTGACCCGAAAATTTATACAGGGTGAGACAAAATTAATATTGAACATTGGCCATTTTTAAAAGCAAGTTACTCCTTTATTTTAAATGGAACACAGAGTATATTATTCCGATATTCTATGAAAAAATTATGTATCTTCAAAATACTATTAAAGTTATGTTAGCCTATCCACTAGACAAAGATTTTCCGAGATATTTTCATATTTATGATTTTCCGTAAGTAGATTTTATAATTTGATAAAATCTAGGTTGCTGTCATGGGCGCCGGAAGAATGAGATTTAGGGGGGGGGGGCAAGGTAAAAATGAATAAAAAATTGAAACACATTTTTGGTAATTATTGGGAAAACTGGAAATCGTCCGATTTTCACCAAAATTGGTATACACCCTATTATGAAGTCGTAGATTATGAATCTGAACTTTTTTCTTGGCGGTCTCTTACCGTTTTTCAGAAAAACGGAAAATAATTTCAATATCGAATTTTTCTTAATTTCTCATATTTTTTAAGGTTTTCTAGCACATATTTTGTTAGGTATTCAATAATCAATGATGTTTTTGCTATTTTCTGTTACTTTTTTAACCAATTCTATGCATAATAGAGGAAAATTTGCTAAAATAAATTTGTAAACAATCTGAAATTGTTAGGTTATGGTTTTGTTCGGGTTCTTGTTATTACCGATTCTGAACAGTCCTAGAACTCTGCAGCGCATGCGCAAATGAAATAATGTCTTCATATTTCCTACTGCGCATACGCATCACAGTTCTAGGACGGTTCAGAATCGGTAATAAGAGAAACCCGAAGTAAGCTTATGTGTTTCTGGCATTTAAAGCAACGTTGCCAATGCTAAACCTAAATTTAGCGTGTTTTGTTCGCTCATTCTGGAATTACGAAAGGCGGTCGCCAGAAGAACGGCTCCTTCCCATAACTGCTATTTTACCAACGAGATCTGACTATTTATAACCACG